GGACATAATTCAAACCATGACACAGCCTGAGCTAAGTGGCTGTAAAATTACTGAGTAAGGAAATACTACTTTTGGAACAAGAAGAACTAGAATCTAGATCTGGCTCTATTACTGGTTATGAGCCTTTATTATTAACCCAAAACCCACTGCCATCGAGTCGATTCCAACTCATAACCACCCTGCAGGACAGAGTTGAACTGCCTCATAGGGTTTCCAAGGCTGTAAATCTTTATGGAAGCAGACTGCCACATCTTTCTCCTGCGGAGTGGCTGGTGGGTTCAAACCGCCAACCTTTCGATTAGCAGCTGAGTGCTTAACCACTGCACCACCTAATTTCATCTCATGGATAAAATTAAAATGTTATGTTTATATACTTTAGAGCAAAGGTAAAAAAACTGATGGTCCATGAGCCACCTCTGACCTATTAATGTATTTTCATCAAGTTCACAAAATATTTTGAAAATCATTTAAATTGTAGGTAGTCCCTGGTTACAAATGTCCAACTTAGGTACAACCCATAGTTATGAACCAACCCCAGTAAAGCCTACTATATATTAAAATTTTGAGGTACATACAGTAGTTCATAGTAACAAATGGGCACTACTTTGCAACACGCATGAAAACATTATTACTGTATTATGTTAAAGATGTTTTAGTGTAACTGGAAGTGTTTCTTTAATTTTTTCTATGCATAGAAAGGTACACTATATACTAAGACAAACATTTGACTAACTGATCTTAGATACAAACCATACCTAACTTCTGACTTACTTACAAATTCGACTTAAAGACAGATTTAGGAATGGAACTCATCTGTTTATAATCCGGGGACTGCCCATAGTGCCTTCAAGGTGTCAGCAAATGTCAATCTTATCTAGATTAATCCCCCTTCAATCCAGTCCTCAAAGAATTCTCATATATGAAGTTCTAAGAAATAGAGCTCACATTCAGGAAAATCATAAACCTGCAAGGAAGAAGAACACCATAAGTGACAGCCAGTTGAAACAAGAAACAGAAGAAGCATACCTGCAAAGTCTTCAGGTATTGGAATTATCAGGCACAGAATATAAAACATGCTTATTATGTTTAAAGAAATACAGGAAGAAATTGAAAATATGAATAAAGGGCAAAAAAACCTAACCAAATCCGTTGCAGTCAAGTCAATTCTGACTCATAGCAACCCTATAGGGCAGGAGGCTATTAAAAATGTCCAGTAATATTTGGAAAAGGACCAAATAAACGTCTACAAAAAGATCTAAAGAATGAATTACTGAGAGATGAAAAATATGAGAGAGAAAGATACAAACTTAAAAAAGAGACATTCCAACATATATTAATTGGATTTCAAGAAGAAAAAGAGAAAAGAGATAATGGCTCATTTTTCAAAACTGATGAAAATCATCAATCCTCAAATTTGGAAGCCCAATGTATCCTAAATAGTATAAACAAAAATTATTCTATGTCTAATCACATCCTAAAGAACACAAAAAAAAAATCTTAAAAACAGCTTGTCATTGATTGAATTGTGTCCGCCCAAAATATCTGTCAACTTGGCTAGGTCATGATTCCCAGTATTGTGTGATTGTCTACCATTTTGTAATCTGATATAATTTCCCTATGTGTTGTAAATCCTATCACTATGATGTAATAAAGATGGATTAGCGGCAGTTATATTGATGAGATCTATAACATTAGATAATGTCTTAAACCAATCTTTTTTGAGATATAAAAGAGAGAAGCAAGCAGAGAGACATGGGGACCTATACCACTAAGAAGGCAGTGCCAGGAGCAGAGCATGTCCTTTGGACCTGAGGTTCCTGTGCTGAGACACTCCCAGACCAAAGGAAGACTGATGATAAGGACCTTCTTTCAGAGCCAACAGACAAAGAAAGCTTTCCCCTGGAGCTGGTGCCCTGAATTCGGACTTCTAGCCTACTTCCCTTTGTTAAAGCCATCCACTTGTGGTATTTCTGTTATAACAGCACTAGGTAACTAAGACACAGCTAGAGAAAAAAGACTACTACTTTCAAAGAAATAGCAATTAGACTGACAGGTGATTTTCTAAAAACAACAGTGAAAGCTAGAAATCTGAAAAATACATCTTTAATGTGCTGAAAGGAAAATGAAAAAAAAAATTATCAACCATTCAGGTTGGCGATTTTTTTGTTTGATTGTTTTTGGCTGCTTTTAGAGCTGTACTGTGCCCATCTTAAGACAGAATTTCTTTGAAATTGTTTGGAAGCCAATATTTTGTGCAATAAGATATATGACCAGTGAAATGAAGGGTTTGGCAGGTGGTGGAGGAGCTATGGTGTAGAGATGAAGTCAAGTAGATGATTTTTCTATTGCAGCCTGTGATTTAAAAATATTTGGGCCTTCCAGAGAGTTCCTGATGGAGCAGGAGAAAAGTAGGGTGAAGAACTCAAATTCTAGTAAAAAGACCAGACTTAATGGTCTGACTGAGACTGGAGGAGCCCCAGAAAGCATGGCCTCCAGACTCTCTGTCAATCCAGAACTAAAAGCATTCCCAAGGCCAACTCTTCAGACAAAGATTAGACTGGACTATGGGACATGAAATGATACTTGTGAAGAGTGTACTTCTTAGTTCAAGTAGATACATGAGACTAAATGGGCAGCTCCTGTCTGGAGGTGAGATGAGAAGGCAGAGAGGGTCAGGAGCCAGTTGAATGGACATGGGAAATCTGGGGCAGAAAGGAGCAGTGTGCTGTCACAGTACAGGGAGAGCAATTAGGGTCACATAACAACGTATGTATAAATTTTTGTATGAGAGACTAACTTGAATTGTAAACTTTCACTTAAAGCACAACAATTAAAAAATATGTTTGGGCCTTCATCTTTTGTGCTTCTGATTTGCCTTCTACTTTCCATCTTTACACACCATATGTGCTGTAGATTTAATTGTGTCCCCCCAAAATGTATATCACCTTGGCTAGGCCATAGGTCCCAGTATTATGTGGTTGTCCACCATTTTGTGATTTGACATAATTTTCCTATGTGTTGTAAATCTTAATCTCTGCCTGTGGTTAATGGGGCAAGATTAGATTATGTTAAAAAGGATTAGGGTGGATGCAACACCCTTACTCAGGTCACAGCCCTAATCAGATGTAAGGACAGTTTCCCCAGGGTGTGGCCTGCATCACCTTTTATCTTACGAGAGATAAAAGGAGAGAGAAGTGAGCAGAGAGGCAGAGACCTCCTA